CCCCCCCGCCATTCCCGGTGCCGGTACCTCCTTGCAGACATGTAGCTGCTCTCCGGTGCGTCCCGGTGACACGGTGACAGCCAGACACAGCGCCAGCGGCATCCACCGGGCTCCGGTACCGGCCATGGCGGCGGCAACGGCGGTGGCAACGGCGGCAGCTCGGCCGGTGCGAGCACCGGCGCCGCTGCCCCGCCCCCGCCAACGGCCCGGCCTCCGCGCACCTGCCGCTACCTGCCCCCGCCCCCGGGAACGGCACCGGGCATCGCCTCCGAGAACGGGCACCGGGAACGGTGGGAATGGCACGGGGTATCGCCCCAGGGAACGGGAACGGGCAGTCGATCACGAATAGAATCCCCTGGAACGGCAGCTGGCGCCGCCTCCACGAGAACGGCACCGGGAATCGGTATCGAGAATGTTATTCATGGGAATGGCACCGCGCATCGGTATCGGAAATAGAGACACGGGAATGGAACTCCCAGGAACAGCACGCCCAAGGTTATACCCGGGAATGGTATCCTGAGATTGGCGCCGGGCACCGGCACTGGGAGCGTTATCCATGAGAACGCCACCGGGAGTGCCATCATTCTTGGGAGTGTATCCCCGGAAACGGGACTGGGAATGCAATCCCCGGAACGTGTTCCCGGGAACGGCATCGGGAACTTATCCCTGGGAATGCATTTGGGAATGTTATTCCAGGAACAGCACCGGGACCGTCTCGGGGCATCGCCCCCGCATCCCCGCCCCCGGGCACAGCCCCTCCTCCCACCGCCCCGGTGCTGGGGGAGGACCGGGACACGACGGGGGTGGGTCATGAGCCCCCCGCACCCCAGAACCGCCTCCACCCCATCAGAGACTGTGTGCCACTCGTGTGCCCCCCAGGCCATGTCCTCATGGAGCGGGCCAGCCCCACTGCACTGGGGACAGGACAGGGGACACATGTGGCTGCATATTCTGGACAGGGAGGACACGAGAGACATAGGGGTACAGGGGATACAGGAAAACGGGGTACACAGGAACATCAAGGACACTGGGTACAGAGCTGATACAGGGACACAGGACAAGGGGAATACAGGGGATATGGGAGAGTGGGGGACACAGAGGGACAGAGGATCCAGGGGATATCTGAACATGAGGGACATAGGAGACACATAGGAACACAGCTGCTAAGGTGCTACAGAGGTCCCAACTCTGGTGGCACAGGGTACCCTGTGTGTTGGGGGACACTAGTGACACATGTCCATCTGTGGTGGCACAGGGATGCCAGCAAGTACCATGGGCATGGGGGACATGGCCACAGGAAGGGATCATGCCTGTCCCTATGGCAGCATGAGGACAACCCCATGCCTACTTGTGCCACAGCTAGAGACAGTGGCATGGGGGTGGCCATGCTCCACAGCACCCACAGTGTCACCTTGGCAGATGAAGCCTGCCAGGCACCATTAAACTGGTGACCTCCTCTCAGTGTCCCCACAGCAGGGCCACCACCAGCAGCCACCCCAGTTGCTTCTCTCAGTAATGCCAGAATCACTGCTGTCCCCTCATCACCACCATGGCCTTGTCACCACCACAGCCATCCCCTTTTCACCTTTGTGGCTGTCCTCTCATGCCCATCCTCTAGTCACCACTGTAGGTACCCCTCGGTCGTCCACCCTTACTGTCCCTTGTCACAACCACGGCCATCCTCTTGCTATCACCACAGCTGTCCTCCTGTTATCACTGTAGCCATCCTCTCCTTACCAGCACAACTGTACTTTTCCACAGTGGCTGGCCCCTGGTTACCATCACAGCTCTGTCAGCACCATGGCCATCCCCCAGTGCTCACCATGGTTGCCCCCTTGTGGCCATCCTCTTGTCACCACCACGGCCATCACCATCACCGCGAATCCCCAATAAAACACAGAGGCCGTGTTGCACGAAGCTCGTAGGTCTAATGAGAGTCCCCGGGCCCCGCGGGGCTAGCAAAGTCCGCGTCCATCTCACACACGTGGCACGGTACCAACACAGCCGCAGGGCCCGGTGAACCACTCCCAGCATGGCACGGAGCGTGCACGGCCCCGCAAGGCCAGCGCAGATCCCTGCAAAGCGAGCCTCCACACGTGGCCCGGCGCTAGATGGCCGGGATGAAGCTGGGCCGTTTCGTCTTCCGTCACTGTCGGCCCCTGGGCTGCAGACGTGGGCGCGGGTCAGAATCGCAGGGCGCTCAGCGGCCGTGGCCTCGCCTATCTGATCGACTCATCCCCCCCGGCCCAGCCGCACAGCGCCCGAGGGCTTCGCGGTGCTTTCTTCTCACCTCGGCCCGGCGGGGCCCGGCCGATCGAATAAGATCAACGTGTAGGGAGGAGAGGGTGGCTGACGCCTCACACACTCACACTCACACTCACACTCTCTCACACACACGGACACCCCTGGCTCACACGCGCGCGCACAAACACACGCGCACGCTCACACAGCCACGGCAAGTTCCGTTCCGGCCCTTTATATAGCGTAGCCGCGCGGAGCACGACGGGAAGGTGGCGCGGCGCTCTGGCGCGCCCCCCGCCGGCCGGAGGACCATCGAGCACCGCGTCTCGCGGGGGCACAGCGGCGAGCGCGCAGGCGCGGCCGGGTACCCTCAGCGCGGGGGGGCGCGGCCCTCCGTGCCCCTCGCTGAGGGGCTGCACCGCTCCCGGCCCCACAGAGCCGGGCGAACCAGGCCGGGAGGCTCCAGTCAGCAATTCCCCACCCCACAGCCCCCCTCCTGCCTTTACAAATCCTCCCCACCCCAGGACCCCATAACTACGGGAGCCCTCCACCCCATGGGAGGCAGCCGCCAAGGACCTCCTCACACACACCCAATGGACCCTCAGCCCACACCACAGGACCCCCAAGAAGGGCACCAGCCCCACAGGAGCCCCCCCAGCCCCACAGGACCCCCAAGCCAGCACTGTCACAGAGGAACCCCCACTTTATTTGCAGGTGATGGTCCAGTATTTACAACCCGGGGGGGTCAGCAAGCCCCCACTGCAGAAGGAGACGCCCCTGAGGGCCCCCCATGCTGCAGGGGGACAGGAAGATCCCACGGATCAGGGGGGACCCTGTCTGGCCCCCAGAGCCTGCCATGATCTCACTAGCACCCTGCTCAGCACAAAAGAGGGGGCTTACAGAGCAGAGCTGGTCCCCCAGTCTTGGGGGTCCCTTCACCCACTTCTCTACAGAATTCACAGGAAATCCTTTTCCGACAGTCTAAAGGTGCCCCGTTACCCTCACAGCTGCCCTTGGTGGGCTCAAGGAGGGTGATGGGCCATGGTGGTCCCTGGCTTGCCACACGCAGGATCTGGGTTGCTGCCAAGAGCGGGGGTGGTTCAGGGTCAGTACCAGGGTCTCCAGGATCAATACCAGGGTCTCCAGGGTCAGCAATGGGGTCTCTGGTTGGCACTGGGACACTGGGGTCAGTACCAGGGTCTCTGGTCCATACTGGGGTCTTTGGAATCAGTCACAGGATCTCTAGACAGTCTCAGGTCTCTCTCAGGTTACCAGCAGGTCCCCATGTGGTCACTTTCCCACAAGGACGTAGAAGGCCATGAGAAGACAGGACATGGACACAGCCACGTGCAGGCGGGTCCCAATCACAGCAGCTGCGGGTGGGACAGGACAGGGTGAGGCCCCATGTGCCCATCCCAGATCCATCCTGAATCCCTGTGAGCCCATCCCAGACGCCATGTTCCCATCCCAAACTCCACTGTTCCCATTCCCAATCTCTGTATTCCTATCCCAGACCCCAAAACCTCCATCCCACATCTCCGTGTCCCCATCCTGGACTCAATGCTTCTGTCCTAGACCCAACCCCAGTGTTCCCAGCATCCCCATCCTGTACCCCAGTGTTCCAAGTGTCCCCATCCCAGTGTTCCCAGCATCCCCATCCGGTACCCCAGTGTTCCAAGTGCCCCCATCCCAGTGTTCCCAGCACCCTCGCGCTGTACCCCAGTGTCCCAAGCGCCCCTCACCCTTGTGGCAGACTCCCCAGACCCCCCTGCGCTCGGACAGGAGCCAGGTGCGCAGTCGGGGCACCTTCCGCAGGTACGCACAAGTGCAAACCAGCAGCAGCCCGAACACCAGGAGCCCGTCCAGGGAGTAAACTGCGGGGAGGTCGGTCGGGGAGGGGTCAGGGGGCACTCCGGGACCCTGCCCAACCCCCCTCCAAGGAGACTCCCACACTCCGTGTGAACAACCTCCCATCTCTGCCCCTGTGAGGGGATGCAGACTTGCCGGGATCCCCCCGAAAAGGGACACAGACCACCCAGTATCCCCACCGACGGCACTCAGAACTGCCAGTACCCCGCTCCCAAAGGGACACAGTCTCCCAGCCACCTCCCAAAAGCTCCTCAGTACCTCCCCCACATCAACCCCACCTCCCCCGCCGCCTGCCGGTACCTGAGTGCTCTCCCTATGGTGCCCCATCAGGCCCCCCGCCTTCGGAACCCCCCAAACCGCCCGTACCCCCCTCTCCCCGTGGTCCTTGAGGCCCCCGACCCGCCCGGACTCCCCGGCCCCTCCATTCCCCAGTTCCCACCACCAGTCATGGTCGCCCCAGGACCCTCCCGTCCGCCCACAACCCCTCGTTTCCCCGTTCCCAGCACTGGTTATGCGGGCCCCCGGTTCTCCCCAGCCCCTCCTCAGTACCCCTTGACCCCTCGTTCCCACCGTTGGTCATGGCGCCCCCGGACCCCCCGGGCCCCGCGGCGCCAACGCGACAGCGGAAGCGGGCGACAGGCGCGGCCAGCCGAGCGCCGAGCCGCCCGACGCGGATCCTGAGGAGCAGGCGACCTCAATGGAGCGCCTATCAGGGGAGGTGCGTGCGCAGCACTAGTATGGCCCAGTCCCCGCCCAGCAGCTCCAGTCCGGCCCAGTCCGGCCCAGTCCCCGCCCAGCAGCACCGTCCGGCCCAGTCCGGCCCAGTGCCCGCCCAGCAGCGCCAGTAAACCCGAGCGCGGATACCTGCCGGTCATTGCGGGAGCTGTCTGTGCGCTCAGTCGTGTGTGACCAGTCCCCGTCTCAGTCCCCCAGTGACCCCGCAGTATCCCCAGTATCCCGCAGTGCACCCAGTCCCCATTCCAGTCCTCCCAGTAACCCACCAGTACTCCCAGTAATCCCAGTCCTCCCAGTAACCCCCCAATGCAACCACACCCCAGTGACCCCCGGATTTCCCAGCAACTTGCAATCTCCCCATAACCCTCCAGCCCCCAGTGCTCATCCCAGCCCCCAGCAAGCCCCTGAGAGGTGATGGGCACCTGATGGGCGGTGGATACTCCAGGGATTATGAGAACCCTAAGAAGTGATGGGAAGATATGGGGTGGCCTGAGACCACAGGGTGGCCTGGGACAGGGACACTTGCAAACAGGGACCCTGAGGGTGCTGGGAGCAGCATGTGAGGACTCCAGGCTGTGTCACCACAAGACCACAGAGGCTGCGGGACACAGGGGCTGGTGTCCAGGATCTCGCCCTGGACTGGCATGTGGCTCCTCCCCATTCCCTGGTGACTCTGTCCCAGGTTGGGCCATCCATTGTGGTGACCCCATCCCCGATGACCCTGGTGACTCCATGCTTCTGGTGACTCATCCCCTGGTTCTCCCATTCCCTGCTGATCCCCTACATCTCAAGATGGTGACAGGAGTGATGTTCTCTCCCTGGACCTGGCCCCTGATAGCCACAGGAGCATTATTCAGTCTAAGAATTTGCCAAACCTGATATAGGAGTCTCGTAGCCACCAGGACCTGCACTAGGAGCTACTCTTCAGCCACAGCAGGTGGGCATGGGAATGGGCCTGTCTCCAGCTGGGTGTCCGGGTGTGGTGGCTGGTTGAAGCCTGTCCATCATTACAGGGGGATCCTACCCTGGCACAGGGCCAAGCTCCAGAAGATGCTGGAGAGCTGGTGGCTGAGGTAGCTGTGGGAGGAGCTGCAGGGACCCCGATCTGACCTGGAGCAGCAGCTGAGGAAGCGCCACCACAGACTTGATGAGGCCTGTGATGTCCCTTTGTCCTTGTCTGTCTGTCCCAGCCTCCACCCCTGTGTCCAGGCCAGTTCTCCTGCCTTCACCTCGCCGTCTTCCATCCATTCATCCACCCATGTATCCATACATATGTGCATGAATCCATCCATCATCCATCCATGTACCCATGAAGCCATCCCCCCATCCAACCTCCATATATCCATGTATCCATGTATCCATCCATCCATCCATCCATCCATCCATCCATCCATCCATCCAGCTATGTATCCACTTCCTTCCCTAGGGACAGCCAAGTGCTGATCGGGCTGTTGGAGCAGTTCAGCTGAGTAATGTTCAGGGAACTTGAGGAGTGGCCGAAGGAAGCTGGACAGGGTGGACACGGGTCAAGGGATGGCCATCAGTGACCAGGTCATGGTGACAGCTGAGGGAACACCTGTGTCAGGAGACAATCGGGTCATGGGGAGGGCTGAGGGAATCCCAACCAGGCCTCATGGCTGCCCCTCCTGCAGCATGAGCGAGAGGTGGCTGGGTCAGAGCTGGACCCTCATCCCAAGTTCCTGCAGGTACGGGACAGCCTGCAGAAGATGAAGCTGGCAGAGGCAGATGCCTGGCACATGTAAGCCAAAGACAGCCCAGCAGAGCTCCCTGAGCCCCCTGGCACACACTGGGCTGCCCCTGTCCCTGGCACATCCTGGCACTGGGAACAGCACCTGGCACTGCCATTCTGAGTGAGCTTGTGGGTGGGGGTGAGTACTGGAGCCTTGGTGTCCCCATGTCGATGACAACCAGGATGGAAGGAGGTGGTAACACCAGGGCAGTGCCACGCGTGATATGGGGGATGCAGGCAACACTCTCCCTCAGACCTGTACCTGCTCTGACTCCATGAACCAGAAAACAACGAAATAAAGTCTTTTATCTGTTTTTCTTGATGGAAATGGGACAGAGATGGGGAAGGGGTGGCATTGCCTTGGGCTAATGGTGCATCGTGGGGATGGAGGGTGATCATGGTGGCCACTGGCTCATTTTACCTGTGGTGCCACTAGCCCTACTGCAGTTGGTGTCCATCCAAGGCCTTCAGCCATCCCCTGGTGGCACAGAGCCCTCCTTACTCCTTCAGACTCCTTCTCCTTTCTTCTCTGTCTTCTCCTGGTGTTTTCTCCTGACTGCATCTTGCCTACCCCCTGCATCTCCCTGCCTGCTCCCTGCCTATTCCCTGCCTTCTCACCCCATCCTGTCTAGCCCCGTCCCATGAGGATACTTCCCCACCCTGCCAGGTGTAGCAATGCAGGACATGCCCAACTCACTCCAATCCAGCTCAGAGGGGCCACAGTTGCTGCAGCATCATCGTCGTACGGCCTGGGAGAGCCTTGGCACCATCCTGGGACATTGGTGGCACCATCCTGGCACTGTCCTGCTGTGCATGGCCAGGGCCAGGACGGGGACAGTTGTTCTTGTGCTTGGCCTATGCCTACATGGCACTAGGGATGGAGCCTTCAGCCAGCCCCGTGCTAGGCTGTGTTGGGCTGCGGTGCCACACCACACCGAACTGCAGCACGCCGTGCTGTGATGTGCCAGGCCATGCTGTGACACATCTACACTGTACCAGGCCATTCCATGCCACGCAGCGCCGTGCGGTGCAGCCGCTGGAGGGCCGTCCAGCGGGGCGGGGACTGGGGCAGATGTTGCTCACCCTGCTCCTCCCTCCGCTCAAGCCCGGACCCGTCCGTGCCCCGGCGCAGCAGAGCCGGCAGCGGCGGCGGGCTCAGGTAAGGGATTTTCCCACCCCGCCGGGACCCCCGGGGCCTCCGTCCTGCCTCTGGCCGCCCAGTGCGACGTGGAGAGGTCTGGGGAAACTGAGGCATGGCCAGGCGACGGCGCTGGAAAAGCGGTGTGAACCCCCTCCCCCCCGTCCCACTGCCCCCCTTTCACTCCCTCTCCAAGAGTTTGGGAGTCTTGGGGTGCTGGGGACCTCCTTTTCCGAGGCCGGCGGTCGCCCCACCCCAGGATCTGCCGCCAGCTCAGATGGAAAAGAAAGGAAAACTGGGAGAGGTGCCCAGCGAAACCGGCTGGGGCGGGAGCGAGGGCCCTCGGCCCTCCCCCCCACCGCACCCCGACCACCTTTGACCCCTTCGAGGGTGTCACCCTCCCCCCGCTTCGCGCAGTCCGCACCCTTTATTTATGGTAGGACCTACAAGAAGGCAAAGCAAACATAGCCTCGCCTCCCCTCCATCGCCATCGCGGCACGCCCGGGGTGACAATGAGGGATTTTAGGGGTGCAGGGTGGGAGGCACCCATGAGAACAGCCCGGTTGGGGACGTGGGGACGAGCTGTGTCCCCGCTGTTGCCCGCAGGCTCTCGGCGCGGCATGGGGGAAGCAAGTGACATGGACAGCGGAATCATGCTGCTCTCGGGTGAGAAGGGGGTTTGGGGGTGAGGGAGGTTTTGGGGTGCCCCTGTCGCGCATGAGTGCTCTGATAGACGTGTCTCTCCTTCCCAGTCAGAGAACGGAGCACTTTGGTGCATGGGGACACACTAGGGACACAAGCTGCCTGGAAAAACCTTTGGGGAAATGAAGGGGTGGAGGAATGGAGGCTTCCCCTGCGTTTCGGGAGGCACCCCAAGTGTAGTGGGGGGGGGTGCTGTGGACAGGATTTGACTCAGACGGGTTTGGCTTGGGATGGCTGAGTCAGACTGAAACTTTCCTCCTGTGCCCCCGCTCCCACCCCCCAGCAGGGACATCACACGTGTCCCGGGGGGGGTGGGGGCTGAAGCACTCATGGTGCTGCTGGGGGAACTTCATGCATACGCTGGGGGATTTGGAGGACCCATGGGTGCTGCTGGGGGAGGGGTTCCTGGATACCCTGGGGGGTTGGAACACCAATGGGTGCTGCTGGGTGGGGGAAACAAGTGTTCCATGGGAGTCAGTACACCCACGGATGCTGCTGTGGGGGAAGGGAGGCACAGCTGCTTTGGAGTAGCTGGAGTACCCATGGGTGCTGCTGGGAGGGTCATGGCTGCTTTTTTCTCCCCCTGTGGTGGAGGGAAACTAAGTCAGGGAGGCTGTGGGGTGGTGGAGGGTGGTACCTGGGTGCCATCCCTCTAGACATCCATGTGTCTGTTCCAGGCCCTGACAGCCCGGTGTCCCCACCGAAGGAGCGGGTGCAGGTGGGGCAGCGGCAGCAGCAGGCACTGGAGGCCCAGCTTGATGGCTGCATCCAGGAGCTGCGACGGCTGTGCCTGCGTGAGGCGGTGAGCAGGGCATGAGGACCCCCTGCCCACCTTCATATACTGCCATGGCTCTGCTCAGTGTCCCTGTGCCATCCTCAGGAGCTGACGGGGACCCTGCCCTGCGAGTACCCCCTGAAAGCTGGCGAGAAGCCCCCCAAGGTCCGTCGCAGGATCGGGGCTGCCTTCAAGCTGGATGAGATCGCCATTCTGCATGGGGTGGTGAGGCAGTCCCTGGGGTGCAAAGGTGGTGGGGACCCATCCCATCCCATCCCATCCCATCCCATCCCATCCTATCCCATCCCATCCCCTCTGCTGTGGAAACTGCCTGAGAGTCACCTGGAAATGTTGCCATCCCCATCCCATGGGTGGTGGTTGGGTGCCAGGTGCTGTAGGTGAGAGGGGCAGGGTGCATGATGGGTGATGTCAGGGTGCTCATGGGGTTATCATGGGGTCCTAAACATAATGTGTGGGGTTGGGGTGCCAAAGTGATGGGTGTGGGGGTGTCCCAGGTGTATCGGGGTGCCAGAATTACGGGAGATGGGTTCCATATGTTATGGGTAGTGGTGGGGTCCTGAGCATGATGAGTGATGTGGGGTTCCAAGAGGGA